AAAAAAAAAAAAAAAAAAAAAAAAAACAGGGGGGGGGGGGGGGGGTCGGGGGGGGGGGGAGACGAGATTCGACAAACGCCTCACCTTAAGAGCCTGGTAGGCGCTGAGCACGGGGGTGATTTTGTGATTCGTGTGCGTGCGACGCACTCGGCATAACTGACACACCAAACGCTGGCAGGTTCTGCAGTAATGGGTGACTTCTTCGCGGTGTTCGGGACACAGCAGACCCTGCAAAGGAAGACACAACCGAAGACGGGAGATTGTCGCTTCACAACCAGAATGGGGAGCGCACAACAGGCAAGAGACGAGAAACAGGAAGGAGTCCTCGCTTAGCGACGACAACAAACACAAAGGTTTCCCTTCAAAACAAAGAAATAAAAATAGATCTATAGACACCGAAAACAGAACTGGAAGGGACCCCTTAGAGGTCATCTATAGTCTTCAGGAGAGGAATCTGGGGGCACATTTTGAGCGAGAGGGGAGCCTTACTTTGGGACGGAAAGTGAGCGTCGGAGGGATCGGTTCGTGCTGGGCTTTCTGCGTCCCCCACGGGTGGTAAAGTTTGAAACATTCGTTGCAAAAGCTGGATCGGCACTCCGTGCAGCCCTTGGTGGCTTCCAGCTGCGGCGGCTTGCAGAACTGGCACATGATGGCCGCGTTGACGTTGATGGTGTGGCGGTAACGCTCCACCACCCGTTCGAGCGTCAGGTTCCGGAAGAGGCTGCCTATGCCTCGCTCGCCCAGGTCCACATCGCGCTGGCACAGCGGGCACGGAAAGAGAATGCTCTGGGGGTGCAAAGCGCCACCCCGTTTCCGGCCGGGATACGTGCCGAAACCTGGGTTGGGAAAGAAAATGGGAACATGATTAGAAAGGAGAAGTAGGGAGTGGTGCGGTGGCCTAGAGGCAGATATTTCTCTATCTGCGCACAATAAGGATATATCTGCTGGGGGAAAAAAACACCTCCGCTCTGGCAACAGGAAAGGCATCTGGCCATTAAAATACTCTGCTAGCTCAATTCAGTTGCCCGGACTCCACCCCACAAGGGATTATGTGCTGTCATTAAAAGACGATGATGATGATTACAAAGGAGAAATATGTTTTTCCAATGTTACTTAAGAGATTGACAAAGAAGGAAAAACTAATTAATAAAAGGGGTGGGGGAGTTTGCATAAATTCATTTATTTTTTTGTTACAAACTTCAAAACCTCTTTACAAACAATGTATTGATCGGGTTCCCCCCCCTTTTTTTTAAATTTTCTCTTATACATAATTAATTTTACATCCCATCCTTTCCTAATTTCGGCGTCCAATTTTTCTTTCCACCTTAACTTTTAATTTTTCTTAACCAATAAAACAATCGTTTTTCGCCCTTCCGTAAATAATAAATCAACTTTATCACTTCGTTTTCCTGTTGTTGTTTCTAGTTCCAAATGCAGCCTATATCATCCAATTTCAATATAACAAGCCTCTCACTTAAATTGGTTATTCGCACTTGACACTAATATCCTATTTAGCTACATGTCAACAACAATATCCGTATATTTCATTTCCTGCCAAGATATCTCTTGTTTCATTTTCCTCCTTTCCTAACCATTTTCCCTCATCGCATCTCTTCTTCTCTTTCATGTTCTATTTTTCTTCATCTTTCTTTTTCTCCTTCTATCTCCTACTCTTAAACTCCCATTTTTTTCCTTCCTCTTTTTTCCCTTTTGAATGCCTTCCAGCTTTCCCCTATCATTCTCCTTTGATTTATTTGAGCAACCCTCAAATTGGATTCCTCTTCTTTTGCTCCCCACTATTTCTCTCTTTTCTTTTAGGCTGTTCTTTCCTTGGAGATAGTATTTTCCTTTCTCGCTCCCTGTTTTTCCTGCGTCTCTATAAATGTCACTATGATTGTCTAGCTAGCAGAGTTGGAAGGGACCTTGGAGGTCTTCTAGCCCAACCCCCTGCCTAGGCAGGAAACCCTACACCATTTCAGACAAATGGCTATCCAACATCTTAAAAGACTTCCAGTGTTGGGGCATTCACAACTTCTGGAGGCAGGGAGTTCCACTGATTTAATTGTTCTAACTGTCAGGAAATTTCTCCTTAATTCTAAGATTCTTCTCTCCTTGATTAGTTTCCATCCACTGATTCTTATCCTGCCCTCAGGTGCTTTGGAGAATAGCTTGACTCCCTCTTCTTTGGGGCATCCCCTGAGATATTGGAACACTGCTATCCTGTCTCCCTTAGTCCTTCTTTTCATTAAACTAGACATATTCCCAGTTCCTGCAACCGTTCTTCGTATGTTTGAGCCTCCAGTCCCCTAATCCTCTTTGTTGCTCTTCTCTGCACTCTTTCTAGAGTCTCAAAACATCTTTTTTAAAAAATATATATATATTT